TAAAACTTACATTATTAAAAAATATTATATTAATTATTAAACATACAACTATTGGGTGGGTGGTTTTTTTTTAATTTTATTAGTTTAATTTAATATATAAAATTATTAATAATTAAACGTATAATATTAGAATATATAAAAAATAAATGTAATCGAGTACCTGGAAAAATGTAATTTTGTGATTAAACCCCGACCCGAAAAATGTCGGGTCAGGTATTTTTTAGAAAAATACCCTTTTTTAGTTTGTGTCAGGTCAATCGGGTCGGGTCAATTGTTTCAGATTTTTTTAACACCTCTATTCAGTACAAATGTAGGATAAACTACATAATTAGTCACCCAACTATCACTTTGGTTCCATTTTGGTCATCCATCTATTTTTTTCTTAAATAGCACCAAAAAAACTTTATTTCCCAAAATAACACCCATTTACGTCGCATAGGATGAGAGTGCACTTACGTGACAATGCATTTTGAAAGGCTCTTCCTCAAGGAAATGCCTTTGCTTACATGGCAGGTCCAGGATGACATTAGAGTTTGGAGAAACAACCCATGTGATATGTCAAGTAAATAGACGTAAGTGCGATTTCATCCTATGCGACAACAATGGGTGCTATCATGGGAAATATGCTATTTTAGTAAAGCAAGAATAAAAGAGCATTATTTTAATAATTTAACCCACCATAATGCCACATCGGAAAATAAAAATAAAAATAAAAAAAGCGTTGTGTCAGTAGTTTTATTTATTTTTAATGATGACTGATCAAAACGGAACCAAAACGTAATGTTAGATATGATTTTGAAAAAAGAATTGAGTGATCAAAATGAAACCAAAGTGATAATTGAATGACTAGATGCGTAGTTTACCCTATTTCTTTATATAACTACTCGATATCCTTGTAAAAAGCGGGAAAGTTTGGGAGAGAAAATTAAATTAAATGTAATTATGAAAAATATTAAAAAAAATCAAAGACAAAATCTCTCATATTTGCATAAAATTTTCAGTAAATATCATTCATATTGGTATTTTGTTAAATATTATGTCTTGTCCAATAAATAATGTAAAAAATATATAAAATTAAAAGACATATCTTTGATCAACTTTATCAAAAAATCAAGTAACAAAAAAAACTTTTTGAATGATAACATTATGGGTAAACTACATGTTTAGTACCTAAACTATCATTTTTCATTTTAGTACTTAAGCTTTCAATTTTTTCAAAATTATATATAATGTTTAATTTTTGTTTCATTTTAATACCCGCCATTAACTTTTTGTTTCATTTTAGTACCTATATTTTTAACGGCGGGTGCTAAAATGAATGCTTTAGGTATGGCTTTAAAAAAATTAAAAGTTTAGATACTAAAACAGAACAAAAGTGATAATATAGGTACTAAATATGTACTTTACCCTAGCATATTTATTTTCTCGAAGTCATTACAAAAGTTATATTAGTGTAAGTTTTTATGTTTTCATGCAACAAAATCAGTATATTTTCAACTTTTTTAGTAGTGTTTCTTTAACATCACCCTAAAACTTTTGTTACAAATAATATCATAAAAATATAAGGACCAAATTACAATACAAGAATTATGTCCCAAATTTATGCATAGTAGAAGATTAAGATTAGGGTAAATTACACGCTTACTCACTGAACTTTACTCTCTCTTATTTCACTCACCGTACTTTTACTGAACTTTAGACATTGAACTTTTTTTATCACTCATTTGATGACATTGATTATTTTATTATTTTTCCATATGAATGACATGTAATATTTTTATTAATATTTTAATATTATTTAGGATTATAATGAAAAAATTAAAAAATTAAAAAATACACCCAAACCCTAAAAACCCACATTCAAGTTTCAAAGGTGGGAGGGCTAAGTGCCGCCGATGGTTGCGGTGGCCGTCTCGATGGTCTCCAGTGGCCTTTTTAGGTGTTGAATCATTGATTAAGTCTAGGTAATTTCTTTTCCCTTTTAGTGTTGAATCATTGATTTCTTTGTTAGAATTTTTGTTGTGCTTGGGGTTTGGATTTGTACTAATCAACGAAGGATAAACAAAAGAGTGACGGGTAGAGCTGAACTTGACCGTTCTCTGGTGGGAGGGTGATCGCCGATGGAAGGGTGAACTTGCCAAGTGTGATGGTGGGTGGGGTTGTAATTTGGGGATTAGGGTTTGGGATATAATTTGAGAATTTAGGTGTAATTTAAGGGTATGATTGTAATTTTAAAATTTATTTTATTTTAATCATATTTGATATTAAAAATATTAATAAAATATGACATGTCATATGAAAAATAATAAAATAATCCACATCATCTTAGAGTGAGCAAAAAAACTCAATGTCTAAAGTTTAGAGAGCAAAGTGATAAAATTGAAAGTACGGTAAATGAAATAGAAAAAAGAGTAAAGTTCAGTGAATAAGCGTGTAACTCACCCTTAAGATTATAATTTGAACCATTTTATTTACTTTGTAATAATATCACTTGCTCTTCCATTTTTTTTCATTAATATAGAGTCTTTATAAGTGGTAGTATATATTTTAAAAATTTTAAACTATTTGGTAATGAACTTTCAAATATCATACAATCGATAATTCTTGAATTGGGGATCTCTAAAATTAAAAAAATTTCATCAAACCATGAAAGTTATTTGATTCGTGACAGCTTTGATTATTTTTCAATATCTAAACATTGTAATTGACTTACTTAAAAAACTATATATTAAAATTGACTTGACTTGACTATTTTATTTGATCAAGTGGTTGTGAAGCGTGTGTTTGGGGTGTTTTTGACCAAAAAATCACCTTCCTTAAAAAACTTACCCTATCAGACATCTATTTTTAACTATTACCCGATCTAACACCCTTTTTTTCAAGAGATAGAAGGAGGCAATGTACATGGAATGCGCCTTTGGTGAGGGGAGAGAAGGCGCGTCGCATGAAACGCTCCTCCCACCTAAGGCGTATCCTAGGAAAAGCACCTCCCTTGAGTGGCAGTTTAGAGTGACAAATTAACGTGACGGATGACATGACAGACTAACTAAATTAATAACTCAAACATGACAGATGGATCGTCACATCAACACTGTGGACCGCCACGTCAGCACCGTGAACCGACACGTTAGTACTGTAACGATCAACGAAGAAAAACGTTAGTCAAAAGGTCACATTGGGTTTATTTTCCGAGTTTGAAGGTCACGTTGAGAGAAAAAATAATATGAGGACCACATTGATTTTTCCCCAAATGTAAAGAGACCTCTGATAGCTTTTTGCCAAAATTTAATGTTTGTTTTGTAATTTTTAAAAAAAATTAATGATAAAAAAGTATATTACAAAATAGTTTAGTTACCATGCGTGTACTTTAACCATCTGTTGTTTTAGTAAACTTAGATCGAGTTAAGAAGAGCTTCGATATTAATATTTTGGGTTAAATAGCTAAAAAGAATAATAAATTGGCCCGGCCGAATCAGATTCTACTGGGCTTTTTAAGATTCTAATATAATTATAAAGTATTTAGGTTCCTTTTTTAATGTTTTTTTTATTTATTAATATGGAGTAAGTACAAGGTAGTATCTGTTTAAATATAACTCTCAATCTTTCGACATTGAATGCTTACACTCCTGACCTCTACGGTGTTCAAACACAGGTCTTCAAGGAATAATAATAATTCTTTTATTAGGGAGGCCACTCTACTCAAATCTAAATCACCTAAGAAGAATAACATTCTAATGTACTACTGAAAATTAGGGGTGAACGTTCGATTGAGTTGAGTAAAAAAATTTCGAGTTATTCGAGTTGACGATATATTTTATAACTCGAAGTTGACTTGAAATTTTTTCGAGTCGAACCAGTCTAATTTTTGAGTTTCTGTTTAAATTTAATTATGAATATTTATAATATTATGATATTATTTTATTCTAATTTAATTAATTTTTTATAATCGCGCGCGCACACACACACACACATATATATATATATATATATATATATATATCATATAAAGTCCACGAAGGGCATTTTCATAATTCGGAGGTCTCCTACGGAAATTGCTCTCAACCTGGTGTTGGGGGCAGCCTACTATCTTACCTCCCCTTACCCCATTACATATGGGAACAAGGGTCAACCACATATAAAGTCGAGAGACTCGACTTAAACTTGAAAATCAATATATTAATTATTAAAAATTTCGAGTTACTATTCTAGTTGTATTTCACAACTCGATTTAAACTTAAAATTTTTTGAGTCGAGTGGAGTCAAGTTTATAAAATTACAACTCGAAATCAATTCGAATCGAGTTAAAAAAATCAAGTCGAGTTTTGCATCACTCAAACTTACACTTTAATATTGAATATTAAGTATGGCCGTATTTTAAATGGGTCAGAATTCAATACATTACTCCATTATCTACTGATATTCAATATATTGATTACCGCCTTCTAAATGTGAAAGATTCGGAGCTTAGTTTTATTTTCTAAAGCGATTCTCTAATTTTATTTTAAACTGTTATTTTATTTTGATTTATATCTAAAGAAATATCATATCTATTTTGATTTCTTTCTTTTCGTATATTCTTGAAGTATTTAATTTTATCTATCAGTATGACACTTTGGTTCAACTGCTTTATGTCACGATTTCGTCTATCGTTATGATAGTATAGTATTTTACGTTGTATTCATCACGACGCACTTTCTGATTAAAAAAGGTCGGCAGTCTCATATAGTTAGATCTTCTTTTGCTCGTTGTATTTTTAAAATTTTATTATATTCACTTATAAATGCATTTAGAACTGTTCATGGAGTAATCTGTTAGACTAGTTCTCTTATCTCCATGTCTACATTAATATTGTGTTCTAGTTCGAATATAAACGAATGAAATTATTGATAATTGTTAGATTTTAAAAACTAAACTTTATGTATATTTTAAAAAAAATTAAAAATTTATATACTAAAACATACCAAAACTAATAGTTTAGATACTAGTCACGTAATTTACGCTTAAGTAGATGAAGCGGACATCTTCTGAGATTGTTGGATGATATCTTGGATAAACAGTGTAATATTGCAGTAAGAAGATCCCTCAATATCAACAGCCTTCTTCGCCATAACTCCAAACTCTTTAGCTCGCTTTCTTCTCTCTATTCCTTCATCTCCTTCGTCCATCAATTGGTGTATTGCATTTTGAACCCGTTCCTTGTTCAACACGAACCCAGATTTCTCATCTCCAAACATCGTCGGCTTGTCTACTCCAAGGCTGACCCCAGTTTTCAGTATCTGCACCGCAAGTTTCTGGTTGCAAAATTGGTCTCCGAGGAACGGCAATGTTATCAATGGGACGCCTGCAGAAACGCCTTCGATTGTCGAATTCCACCCACAATGTGTTAGGAAGCCTCCGATTGCAGGGTGTGACAAAATGAGTACTTGGGGAGCCCATCCCTTGACTACAAGCCCTCTTCCTCTCGTTCTTTCTTCGAACCCGTCCTCTTTCATCCATGTCTCCACTTGGTTCGATGTTGTGTCGTTTCCTCTTAGGACCCAAATGAACGGCTTGTTCGATGCCTCCAAGCCTAAACCCAACTCGATCAGTTCCGGAGACTTTATAGTGCTGATGGTCCCGAGGCATGCATAGATGACAGAGTTTGGATCTTGTGAATCAAGCCACTGCAGACATTGTTGCTCATTGATTGAACTTCTGTTACCTCTTTCGGCCTTGTCCGACTCGTCCTTGTGGCTAAGAGAAACCGGACCGATACACCAAGCTTTCTTAACCTTCCGATACTCTTCGACATAAGCCGATTCGAGCTCCTCGAAGGTGTTTATGATAACCCCGTGTGATACTCGGTCGGCTTCGAATATCTGTCCGAAGATTTCCTCCCAGGGACCAACGGGGACCTTAACTAGGGGAACTTGTGCTTCGGTGAATTCGACTTTTTCAGGCAAGCCTGGCACCGTGAAGTATTCAGAATCAGATTTTACCTCCTCAAGTATCTTGGAGTACCTCACATTGTGCACACAAAGAAGAGCGAAGCAACAAAATCCATGGAACGAGATCCTCGGAACTCGAAACCTGGTAGCGATTTTGTGCGTATAGTACAGGTTCATGTCCGAAATGATACAAGCGGGGCGTGGTGTTAGCTCCTCGAATAATCTCTGTGCTGCATCTTCCATCTTGTTTACTGCAGTGTAGAATTTGAAGAAATCCTCCACGGAATGCAGCATGTCTATATTCTCGACCCCGTCTGATAATCCCACTTCATTGCCGGGAAACCGGAGTTGCGAAACACGGATAAGGTGCCCCGATTTGTCGGATCGTGAGATCGATTTCTTGACTCTGCCTGCATTGAGCGGCGTCGTAACGATAGTGACGATCACACCCCGCTGTGCCAAGAGTCGACCGATGTCTACCATGGGGATCAAGTGGCCTTGAGCCATGAAAGGGAACAGCACAAAGTGGCATTGAGCCATGGCAGGGAGTATGGAAGTGAATTGTATGCAGCAGGATGCGAAAATGTGTTGTTTGTGGAAGAGAGAGGGCGGTGCTCTTATGGACATCAACGAATCGACATTATAGGGCCATAAAATAATTATTACTTGAAGACCAAGTCCTGGAAGATTCAAATTCAGTACTTGACAGCACTTGGGGTCCAAGTATTTGATGTTTGAACCATGCATAGGAATCCGCATTCAGCCTAAGCGGCATTCAGCCATGACGGGCCTGAGTTGTGAAAGTGAATTGTGAGCAAAAAATGTGTGGGGCGGTGCTCCTAAAGACCATCAATAGTCAACCTTATACGGCCATAATTACTTGGGGGGTCCAACTCTAGGATGTTTGGACCATATATCACAATTGCATGACCCCATAATGTAAGAAACAATCAAACAAAAAGAGAAAGAAAGATTGACACGCAAGATGTTTCGTGATTCCCAATCACTGATCCGAAGATATTTTAGGATAAATTACGTATTTAGCATCTAGACTATTAGTTTTAATATGTTTTAGCACCTAAATTTCTAATTTTTTAAGATCATACATATCGTTTAGTTTTTTTTTTCATTTTAGTACCTCATCGTTAAAAGTTTAACACCTAAATTACCAGTTTTTATCAGTTTTAGTACCTAAATTTTCATTTTTTTTCAAAACTTAATGTTAAATTTTGAACAAGAATACTAAAATAAAAAAAATTACATTTTTGGTATGATTTTGATTTTTTTTGAAAGTTTAGATACTAAAATAGACCAAAATTGATAGTTTATGTACTAAACACATAATTTGCTCAATACTTTATAGAGTGGAACATATAATAATATAATTTGGATAATCTATATATTTAATACATAAACAATCAGTTTTGGTCTATTTTAGTACTTAAACTTTCAATTTTTTTCAAAATCATACCTAAAATTTAGTTTTTGTTCAATTTTAGCATCTCGTCGTTAAAAATTTAACGGATCTTTTGCACGTGACATTTTTATAGGTAAATTATATCATTCATCACTTAACTATCTTTTTACTCTTATTTTGGTCATTAATGTTTAAAAGTTTTCAATTTAAACCAACTTTCAAATTGCTCATGTTTTAAAAACTCTAATTTATTATATTACTAATATTTTTGTGATGTTTTTTTTATTATTTTATTAATATATTATTAAAATAAAAAAATTAAATTTGGAAGTTAGAGCGAATAAATTATGAGTAATTTAAAAGTTAGGTAATTAAATTAAAAAAATAAATTTCAATGACCAAAATAGGGTGAGAAGATAGTTGAGTGACGAATGATATAATTTACCCATAAAAAAGTGTCAAGTTATAGCAGTTCCGCTAAGTTTTTAACGATGAAATACTAAAATGAAATAAAAATTAAATGTTAGGTAATGATTTTAAAAAATTAAAAATTTATTAGTTTAGGTATTAAACGAATAATTTATCCTATAATTTTTATATGAGATGAATATAAATAAAATTTTAAAATACATAACATCAATAAAAATAAGTTATTAATATAAAAAATTCAAATTTCAGAATAATCACGAACCGAAATTAGACAAAACCTACATCCCCACTAGCGGTTCAGTCAATAATGGATGCATTAAGTCCTACTTCCAACTTGTTTAGTGTGGTTCTCATACATTTTTTGTACTTTCAGTTCTGGTGTAATTTAGAATGCATCATATGCCACCAAAAATAGGAAGACACATCATCTTTCACATTTAGTATTTAAACGGTTAGTTTTGGCTGATTTTAATATTTAAATTTTTAATTTTTTTAAAATTACACTTGATGTTTTATTTTTGTTTTATTTTAATATCCCGTTAAAATTTTAACACGTTTAACTATCAATTTTGGCTTGTTGTAGTATCTAAACTTTCAATTTAAAAAAATAACGTTTAATTTTAAAACGTGTACTAAAATAAATAAATAAAAACTAAACTTTAGATATGATTTTAAAAAAATTTAAAAGTTTAGATACTAAAACAGATCAAACGGATAGTTTAGATAATAGACAAGTAATTTACGCTTAAATAGATGAAGCGGACATCTTCTGAGATTGTTGGATGATATCTTGGATAAACAGTGTAATATTGCAGTAAGAAGATCCCTCAATATCAACAGCCTTCTTCGCCATAACTCCAAACTCTTTAGCTCGCTTTCTTCTCTCTATTCCTTCATCTCCTTCGTCCATCAATTGGTGTATTGCATTTTGAACCTGTTCCTTGCTCAACGTGAACCCAGATTTCTCATCTCCAAACATCGTCGGCTTGTCTACTCCAAGGCTGACCCCAGTTTTCAGTATCTGCACCGCAAGTTTCTGGTTGCAAAATTGGTCTCCGAGGAACGGCAATGTTATCAATGGGACGCCTGCAGAAACGCCTTCGATTGTCGAATTCCACCCACAATGTGTTAGGAAGCCTCCGATTGCAGGGTGTGACAAAATGAGTACTTGGGGAGCCCATCCCTTGACTACAAGCCCTCTTCCTCTCGTTCTTTCTTCGAACCCGTCCTCTTTCATCCATGTCTCCACTTGGTTCGATGTTGTGTCGTTTCCTCTTAGGACCCAAATGAACGGCTTGTTCGATGCCTCCAAGCCTAAACCCAACTCGATCAGTTCCGGAGACTTTATAGTGCTGATGCTCCCGAGGCATGCATAGATGACAGAGTTTGGATCTTGTGAATCAAGCCACTGCAGACATTGTTGCTCATTGATTGAACTTCTGTTACCTCTTTCGGCCTTGTCCGACTCGTCCTTGTGGCTAAGAGAAACCGGACCGATACACCAAGCTTTCTTAACCTTCATATACTCTTCGACATAAGCCGATTCGAGTTCCTCGAAGGTGTTTATGACAACCCCGTGTGATACTCGGTCGGCTTCGAATATCTGTCCGAAGATTTCCTCCCAGGGACCAACGGGGACCTTAACTAGGGGAACCTGTGCTTCGGTGAATTCGACTTTTTCAGGCAAGCCTGGCACCGTGAAGTATTCAGAATCAGATTTTACCACCTCAAGTATCTTGGAGGACCTCACATTGTGCACACAAAGAAGAGCGAAGCAACAAAATCCATGGAACGAGATCCTCGGAACTCGAAACCTGGTAGCGATTTTGTGCGTATAGTACAGGTTCATGTCCGAAATGATACAAGCGGGGCGTGGTGTTAGCTCCTCGAATAATCTCTGTGCTGCATCTTCCATCTTGTTTACTGCAGTGTAGAATTTGAAGAAATCCTCCACGGAATGCAGCATGTCTATATTCTCGACCCCGTCTGATAATCCCACTTCTTTTCCGGGAAACCGGAGTTGCGAAACACGGATAAGGTGCCCCGATTTGTAGGCTCGAGAGATCGATTTCTCGACTCTGCCTGCATTGAGCGGCGTCGTAACGATAGTGACGATCATGCCGCGCTGTGCCAAGAGTCGACCGATGTCTACCATGGGGATCAAGTGGCCTTGAGCCATGTAAGGGAACAACACAAAGTGGCATTGAGCCATGGCAGGGAGTATGAAAGTGAATGTTGTTTGTGGAAGAGATAGGGCGGTGCTCTTTAGGACATCAAAGAATCGACATTACACGGCCATAAAACAATTATTACTTGGAGACCAAGTCCTGGAAGGTTCAAATTCAGTACTTGACAGCACTTGGGGTCCAAGTATTTGATGTTTGAACCATGTATAGGAATCCGCATTCAGCCGAAGTGGCATTCAGCCATGACGGGCCTGAGTTGTGAAAGTGAATTGTGAGCAAAAATGTGGGGGCGGTGCTCTTAAAGACCACAACCTTATACGGCCAAAATTACTTGGAGACCAAGTCCTTGATAGCACTTGGGGTCCAACCTTTGGATGTTTGATAGCACTTGTGGTCCATAATTTTTATATGAGAGGAATATAAATAAAGTTTTAAAATACATAACATCAATAAAAATAAGTAATTAATATAAAAAATTCGAATTTAAGAATAATCACGTGCTCAGACAAAACCTACATCACCACTAGCGGTTCAGTCAATAATGGATGCATTGGATCCTACTTCCAACTTGTTTAGTGTGGTTCTCGTACATTTTTGGCACCTTCAGTTCTAGTGTAATTTAGAATGCATCATATGCCACCAATAATAGGAAGACACATCATCTTTCACAATATAAAAATAATAAATTAATCTAATATTAATTATTTAATATTATATATACTAAATGATATAAAGCCAAACAATTGATTTTAAGTAATTTAAATAAATTTTAATAATTTTAAATATAATATATCGTATAAGCTTAAAGTAAAAATAAGTATTTAAATTATACCTTTGCTAATAATAGATCTCCAAAGAATTTTTCGTTCGAAGTAAGTGTCTATCATTTTCTTCGTTACACTTTTATGTGTCTACACCATGATTACCGTTAAATTCGACCATTAACTGACATGCGTCATGTTTATATTTTTTAAGATTTTATTTAAAAATAAAAATAAATATTTTAAATAAACTTTTAATTGTTATTTCTGAAAAAAAATATTTTAGGATAAATTACCTATTTAGTATCTAAACTATTAGTTTTGATATGTTTTAGTACCTAAACTTTTTATTTTTTAAGACCATACATATCGTTCAGATTTTTTCATTTTAGTATCTAAACATTAGACCGATGTCTAATGTTTCTGACGTAGCACAATGAATTTATAAAATTAAAAAGGATAAATTACACAAATGGTTACTAATATTTGAGTAAGTTTATGTTTTTCCTATTGAAGTTTCAAAACTAACAAATTTTATTTGTCTAACTTATTCCAAAAGCTTTCTAATTTTTTGTTTATTTGGAATACTGATTGATTTATGTCAAAAAATAATAATAATTTCTAGTTTTTATTTTTAAAATTTAAAGTATAAAAAGTTTTGGGGTAAATTATATATAAAATTATTGTTCAAGGACCAATTTCATGGTTTAGTGACCAATTTTTTACTTTTAAAACTTTAGTGGGGAAAATAAAAACTTACTCAAACATTAGTGACCATTTATGTAA